ACGTGTTTATACCGCATAATTTGCATTTGTCACACTTGCCCCACTGTCACACGTGCCTCATCTATGTCTACACGTGCCGCATAAGGTAGACTTATCTAATTTTTTATAGTTCTTTGAGACCATAGAATATAAAATGCGTGCTCTTGACCCGAATTACTCAAATTTTTGTAATATAAGCGAATGAAACACCAAAGTGAATCGTAAAACGTGAGCTATATCCAAGGCGTTAAAAATTTGTTTGTCCTTTTATTGTAACATTAATTACGGTGTATACGTAATCATCATCATCATTATAGCCCATCACAAGTCCACTGCTGAAGACTAGTCTTCCCCAAGAACACCATAAAGCACGTTCCTGAGCCACCTGCATCCATCGACTTGCACCAGGTCGTCACTCCTTCAAGTGGAGGGCCGCCCTAACCTTCGCTTACCGGTACGAGGTTAAAACACGAAGAATAAAAACATAACTTTTCTTATATAGAAGAACTGTGATAAACGAGTACACATTCCACCTAATGGTAAGTGGATGCTGTAGCCCATAGACATACACATTTATCCTCAATTAAGAATCAAAATGCAGATACGTTTTCACCCCTAAGGACTGAGATCGAATGCCTCGTTTCCAGTGAAAGGGTATCCGTTTCTCTACAATTACCATACGAAACACAGCAGCATTATGCTGCAATTTTACGCTGGTATTTTGTGAGAGCGTGTTCCTTCCCCGGTCGAGCCGACCCGTTCGTGCTACAACTAATATAGCTGCACCATGGCTCTACGTAAAAAAGCTTTCATAAATACTAAAAGCCGACTTCAAGCCTCTACAAAACACTTTAATTCTATTATAAAATAACATGTAAAATAATAATACTCTTATTGGTTACTTTTTAGCCGTCTTTTACATTTTGTTAAAGGTTAATTATATAACATATATAATTTAAAAATTACAATTAATTTTTAATTTCAAAATTAAAAATTGCTTTAAAATTACACGAGCAAGTATAATAAGTCAAGTGTTGAGCTAATTTAAATAAAATTCATCTAGTCTTGCGTTATGTTATGTATTAGCATCTTTTCATATAAATATTTGAGTTAAAGCGCATTTCAAGTTACATGCCAAGTCAAAATTAAAAATTGCTTTAAAATTACATGAGCAAGTATAATAAGTCAAGTGTTGAGCTAATTTAAATAAAATTCATCTAGTCTTGCGTTATGTTATGTATTAGCATCTTTTCATATAAATATTTGAGTTAAAGCGCATTTCAAGTTACATGCCAAGTCAAAATTAAAAATTGCTTTAAAATTACATGAGCAAGTATAATAAGTCAAGTGTTGAGCTAATTTAAATAAAATTCATCTAGTCTTGAGTTATGTTATGTATTAGCATCTTTTCATATAAATATTTGAGTTAAAGCGCATTTCAAGTTCCATGCCAAGTCAAAATTAAAAATTGCTTTAAAATTACACCAGCAAGTATAATAAGTCAAGTGTTGAGCTAATTTAAATAAAATTCATCTAGTCCTGCGTTACGTTCTGTATTAGCATATCTTACTAAAAACGTAACTGGTTTTTAAATTATTCCTTCTAGTCTCTAAAGTGCTTCTATCTATCATCATTTAGTCTTTTATTTTTCTCGTACATGCCGAGACGATTAAAGTATTATCTTTTATAAATCCTTGTTTGTGTTAAGTAAGGACGGAATTCCAGTTTAGGTGATGTTTTCTTTTTAATCTTTTATAATATTATTACTTTTTATTTTTGTTTTATGTTTAAAAGTAGAAAGGGGTATTAAAGAGATTTAGTGTCTTCGTAATAGAAGCGAATGAAACGTCAAAAGTGAATCGTAAAACGTGAGCTATTCCCAAGGCATCTTAATTTGTTTACATTGTTATTGTAATTTTTTTTACGGTGTATACGTTAGTAATGTACGGGCTGTAATGATGATATTCATTATTATCATCATTATAGCCCATCACAAGTCCACAGCAGAACATTGGCCTTCCCGAAAAAATAACACAAAGCACGGTCCTGAGCCATACATCCAGTAGAGAGTTGCACTATACTCCGCTTCGCAGAAAGCTGCCACTCTAGAACATTTCGTCCCCATCGGTAGTCGGTTTTCAAGCTATATGGCTGACCCATTGTCACTTACTGATCCGTTACATAGTCATATGTTGGTTTCTCTGGTTCTGTTATAGATACAGATCTTCATTACGAAGTGACCTTGAGCTTCCTCATACCACCAGTAATGAAGGTGTCAGATCCATACCTAAACACTGGTGACACGCACTGGTTCTATACTCTTGTTTTTAATATTTGAGGCAAACGTGACTAGAAAATGTGTAGTAATCTTCTGAACGCAGCCCAGCTGAATTGGATCCCTCGCTTAAGCGCTCGGTCGACGTTGAACTTACCTAGTCGGCCAATTAGTTAAGTTGGAAACAAATCTTTAAAAAAGTATCTTTTTAAGAGGATAAGAGTGACAAACGAGCACACTATCCACCTGATGGTAAGTGGATGCTGTGGACATCTACATTTATCCTCGATGAAGAATCAAAATATAGATGCATTGTCACCACTGAGGACTGAGATTGAACGCCTCGTTTCCGGTTCTCTACACTCACCATAAGAAACAGCAGCATTATGCTGCTATTTTACGCTGGTATTCTGTGAGACCGTGGTCCATCCCCGGTCGCGCCGACCCAAAATATATCTGTAGCGTGGCTCTACCACGTAAAACAGGCTCTCCAGTATACGTATTATTTGGAATAAATATTTTATTTTGAGTTTAAGTACCTGAATTATAATTAATAGGTACTTAGCTCAAAATGTCGCACAAATTTTAATTGATGAGGCTGATTAATTTCATTTTATGCCCAGCAATGTTTTTTGCAATTTAATGCTTTTATATGTTTCCACTCCTAATTAAATAATGAAATGTTAGTTATTAAAATTATTAATTATGTACATTTTTTGTTGAGTATTCTTCTGCAACGTGGTAGTTGTTAAGTTAATTTATCACCCCATTTCTTTACGTAGAAGGTAGGAGGAAATAATAGAAAAATCTAATTGGCTGGCGGTATGGCCATTCTTTTTGCGCCGTGCATAAAAATACTCATCCCGGTGTTGGGGAGCGTTATCAAATGTTCAAGAAATCTGGTGGCGAATGATTATAGCAATCCCTCCTAAAACCTGAATAATAAACCCTTAACCCTTAATTCTTACAACAAAATAGGCCCATGTCCAATGAACTACACCGGGCTGATGAAAATGAAGAAGCCACCACCTCGAGATGGCAAAGCCGGCCTTGCCCTTTCTCATCAAGACGCAGTTGTCCCCTCTCGCTGATACAACTTATTTATCTTACCCAGGTTACAATTTGGAACACTCCTTTGTGCCTCGAGTCGGAGCTTGTGTGTATGTCCGTCTTGTTTTGTTCATCGTTTAGCTACGCATAGACAGTGGCTACCACTCCCGCGTCTATGGGTGCCTAAATAGGTCTCTATAATGTACAACAGTGCTACAACAGAACCCATCCGTAGAGACCGTGCTTCTTGGCCATTTCAGCGCCCACCACGCTGAATGTCTCGGTTCTCGTACTACTGATTATTCAGGAAGATCTGTTTAAGACTTTGCCTTGGCATGTGGTCTAACACAACTGGTCACTTCACCCACGCGGATTCCAGATCATGCATCATGAAGGAACATGCACCTTCGCTGTTGAGCCTTTTTCTGACCTCCCATCCGGACGTCTATCAAGTCACCGTCATTGTCCCTCTGGCTCTTCAGATCACTGTCTGATCCAGAGTACAGTGCCCATCAGGTACTCAGTGCAGGCGCGATCTGTAGTCTGCCGCCGTGTGTGACACTGTAGGTCTGCAGATTTGGATTGGATGCGGGCTTTTTTCGCATCCTACCCGGTGGATTTGCTTATCGCTGAATAATTCAAACATCATTGCTGAGTCTGTCACCGATGTGGTGCTTCAGGTAATGGACATAATTATCCAGTCATCTGTAGTGCCTATCGGTAACAGATCCCAGCCTTGGTTTGGTAGCTCCAACAAAAATGCGTCGCGGCAAAAGTAGTTGTGTTTACCAGGTCTGGGCCGACACATCGGGATCCATAGATGCGAACACTGGCGTAATCAAATAGAAGTATAACTTTGCCTCCAGGTCCTTTAAAAGAGTTGTCGTTAGGGTGACGACCAATTTTTTGCTGATAACTTAATCCACGGGCCTTGCGAAACAACGATTCATATCTATGCATCTTCTGTAGCAAATTATCGCAACACCTTAAATTTCCCTGGTATTGCAGATGTTCATGGGTGACGGTGGGTTGTATGCTCGTTTGCCTCCTCTTCAATGAAAGAAGAAGGTTCCTCTGTTTAGATTTAGCGTACATCTGCTAAAGACGCACAACATCATAATTTTTATTATGGCTATAGATAGTATGGACCTGCTTTGCGGAAAGGCCATGACTACTCAGAATACCAACGTGAAAACTGACGAGAACCGCAGACTATATTGATTGATCTTTAACATACAAGTTACTAAGCATTCCGTCTTAGTCCTCAGAGGTAAAAATGCATCTGTATTTTGTTTCTTGATCGAGGATACACGTGAGTGCCTTTAGGACACGGCATTCACGTACCGTAGGTGAACTGTGTGCTTGTTTGTCACTTTCACCTCTATAATAAATATAATCATATATCCATCCAACTCAGCGTAACATAGACCAAGAAAGTTTGACAGATAATATGTTTACCCTTAGCGTTTACAAAACAATTAACTGAATGTGTTATATATAACAATAAATCAAAATCCTTCTGACAGTTTTAATATACTTACACATTATCAGTAAACTACCTGAACATAAATAAAGAACAATAAAGAATAAGGTCAACCAAAATAAGGCAATAAAGCCGACTTTTATCTAAAACAATGTTTACTTGTAGTAAACATACAGTATAATATATAAACGGTACAACGACTCCAAAAATATTAGATAGTATATAGTTTAGTGACAAGCAACTAATATCATTGGTCTTTGGTCTAGAATTCTTGTGGCTGTCGATCTGTGATCATTCAATATATTTTAAGGTCATTTTTGTACATATAGGTAAACATTATTTAACTATTACATCAAATTTTGTGAAATAAAATAGTTTTTGACAACAGTAGATGGGCAGTTGCATCTTCCTGATAATAACGGAAAAGTTAAAAAAACTGCAGGTTTCTGCCTACCAAGCATGTCAATGTGTATGAGCACTCCCAAGTCCCGTGATTTTCCAAGTGCGAACGGTAACCTGCAGTTATCTAGAACACATTATAATAAGCAAAAGTGCAATATTATATTAAAGTTTAATTACGAATTTAAAAGGCTTTTGGCGCAATTGTATTAGAATGTCTCTATGTCACATTAAATCAATTGTGCACTAAACTAGTTTGTGAATGTTTCTTGGTAAAAATATTACACAAAAACGGCAAGTTCAATCACGTCTGGATGCTATAAAAGTTGTTTTTATATCTTTACTCATACTAAGCGTCATAAAGGACCGTCGGCCGTCGCTATATGCAATATAGTGTGGCACTACGTTAAAGATCATAACAATATTAATAATTGACAAAACACAACAATTTTCAGATCTTAAAACTTTCAGTTGATTTCAGTGAGCGGCGGGTAGTCAACGTCCAGCATCAAGCAAAATGTTGACGTTACACATATCAGCAACAATTTCACTTTTAAGTAAATATACTTGAAGTAATTTTCTTAGTTTATTTTTTAATAACGATGAATGTATAAAAAATATAATTAAATAAATTTTTAGTACTAGCCCCATCTATATCTGGACGATGGCTTCAAGTTAACCCAGTCGAGAAGCAGTTGTTCCTTAGCAGACGTGTAGTCACTGAATCCTGTGAGTTCGACGGTGGCGTCTTGGTTGATGAAAAAGGAATGATTGAAAGAATTCTTACAAGAGAAAACGTTGAATCTTTGCTCACTGCCAAGAATAATATTAAGGTAATGTATAATATAACGAAAACATTTCAATATTCTAATCCTTAATTTTAACTTCAAGTCTACTATTTTTTTCGTAGTAGTCAGAGTCCTTATAAGTCTTAATTAACGCATATTACGTCACTTTCCATTAAAAATATTTCATCACAATGATTGTGCAGTGTGCAAGTAACAATTCTTGTATATTTAAATTATTGATTTTTCGGAAACCTCTCTAACGATTCGGATGAAATGATGTATTTCGTTAACTTTCCAAGTTTATCTAGATAGTTGGGTAGTTCATGCCTGAGAAAATGATAATAGGTATGTACTAATACTATATAAAATATAGATAATGTTTTGTCATAATAATAAATTTACTACACATTGAATGAAACTAGGTTTTTAAAGAAATTTATTGCGTTTATATAACTTTTTTTTTATTTCGTCATAATGAACAGAGATCGGAGGTGTGCCTGGTTGTTTGTTAAGTATGTTGGATTGATAACGTTCGAAATAGTAAAAAATCACTTTATTTGAAATAGTTACAAAAATGTTAATAAATTGTTTCGAATGCACCCGATACTGTTGCGTAACGAAAATGCACTAAACATATTGGCGGCGTAGCGCCCATTGCTGACAAAAGTGTTCCGTTTCACCGAACAATTTAGATTAAAAATTACATATTAATGGACATCATTAGCCGTGTTCTTAAAAAAGAGCGGTATCTTAATGTTGTCTATGAAAAAGTACTTTTTATTTATTTTTTGGCTTTTGTAAAGATGTTATATCTTTAATTTTTTTTAATATTTAATAGAGTCCAATGTATATATGGATACAGTCTATAAACAGCAACTGTGTTTATCAGGTTATAGATGGCGGCGACTTGGCATTGATGGCCGGCGTGATTGATTCACACGTTCACGTCAACGAGCCAGGACGCACCTCCTGGGAGGGATACGTCACTGCTACGCAGGCGGCAGCCGCCGGCGGTATCACAACGATCATCGACATGCCTCTGTATATAAATAATATTTCGAAAGTATTGTGAAATTGTACATAGAATTTCAGTAACCTTAAGTAATTATTTACTACTACTTACAGGAATTCGATCCCACCAACAACCACACTCGAAAATTTGAAAACTAAAATCGCTGCAGCTAGGGAAGAAGTGTTTGTTGATGTTGGATTTTGGGGCGGTATTGTTCCAGGAAACGAAGTAAATATCGTTCATTTTTAAACTCATCTAGCTATTCTTTAATACTGTTCTTATTTATATTATCTTTTTATACGTGATAGAGCCACGCTGCAGCTATATTAGTGTATAGTTGTAGCACGAATGGGTCGGCTCGACCGGGGAAGGACCACGCTCTCACCAGCGTAAAATAGCAACTTAACGCTGCTGTGTTTCGTATGGTGAGTGTAGAGAACCTTAGGCACCCTATTTACTGGAAACGAAGGCATTCCATCTTACTCCTCACGGGTGATAACGCATCTTCATTTTCATTCGTAATCGAAGATAGATGTAGATGTTTATGGGCCACAGCAACCACTTACCATCAGGTGAACTGTGTGCTCGTTTGTTACCCTTATCCTATAAAATAAATAGCTTAATAGCAGTCCACTGCATGCTAGATAATGGGGCTCGCTCTCTGTCTAGGACTCCGTCTGGATAGATACCACCTTCTTGCTATTTGGGGGTAAAAATGTCCCCAAATAGCAAAGCTTGCGCTTCTGTGTTTTGGTCTTAAGGGTGTAGATAATCAGTATAGTTACAGGCTGTGATGCATTCCATCTCAGTCCTGAACTGCTACTGCAGTTCATGGCTTAGTCTAGGACTCCGTCTGGGTAGGTACCACCTTCTTACTATTTCGGGGTAAAAATGCCCCCAAATAGCAAAGCTTGCGCTTCTGTGTATTGGTTTTAAGGGTGTAGATAATCAGTATAGTTACAGGATGATGATCCATCTCAGTCCTGAACTGCTACTGCAGTCCATAACCTAGTCGGCGACTGCCAATTAGCATCAAATGGATTCTAAGTTCGTTTGTCAGTTACTTTAAAAAACTGGTATAAACACGCGATGTTTTCACCATTCATCGTAACCCAATGGTCTTTTACGAGTTCACGACACCCTTCTCCAGTTTTCGGTTACTCACCAAATAATGCAATTAAGTTACACCATGTACTCGGCGTAGCACACGACGAGCTAGCTTAGTAGTTTAACCTAAAACTAGAACTAAGTATGGCAAAAAAATGCTAACTTTTGAAGGAGCACAGCTTTATAATAGAATGGCCTCTAGTATAGACTCTTTCAATGCATTTAAAATTCAACTTCATCAGTATATAATTACGGATCGATCACTTTTGGAGAAATGAATGGCATTAAATGAGTATATCTAGTTTGTAACTGATGACGACGAACATTAATATTGTTCTCAAGTGAGTTACATATGTCTTTATTGAGAATAAAGTTTCTTTAAACCTAAACCTACTTATATATAAGAGCGGTTCTTCATCGGTCATTTCTAGACTCCCACTCTTTTATTACAGTTGCAGTATGCACTGCCATTGCTCTCACTTGCAGCAATGTTAATAGTAATCCCATCGCATTAAAATAAATCAAACTCACCTTTTTTCGTTATTAATTCGTCTAAATTAATATTTTGCTTGATTTAGATGGAGTTGCACGACATGGTCAGGGCTGGCGTGGTGGGATTTAAAGGATTCTTAGCAGACAGTGGAGTCGCCGAGTTCCCCAATGTACACAAAATCGAATTAGGAAACCTCTTCTCTATTCTCAACGGTACTGGAACCGTTTTAGCAGTAAGTTTTAATTAAGTAATTGTGGCATTTAGATCAACATAAACTTATTTTTATAATTATAATAATTAATTATTCTTTCTTATACAGTTCCATGCTGAACTAGAAGTTAATAATACGACTACTGAATGTGAAGGATTCGACTGTTCCGGTACGTTTTTTTAATATTATTGTTTTAATAAAAAAAAAACAATTTTCCAGTAAATTTTGAATATTTTAATTTACAAGTGTAATAAATAATAATTAAAGATGATTTATTATCTTACTATCCCTTCGTTGTCTATAAAATGTAATTACGTAATTTTTAATATTATTTTATTTATAAAAGGATGTGAGAACGAATCCATTTCAGCAACGGCATTATTTACAGATCCACACTTGTACAGCACATATCTGGCCTCCCATCCTCCTGAAATGGAACTGGAAGCCGTTTCTTTAATAGCTAGCTACTTGCCACAATCAGAGTAAGTCCCTACCTACTTGCATATTATCTATCTATAATCTTCTTTAGGAAGTTATTACAAAGTTGCTATGCAAAGAAAACTAAACTTATAAAAAAGCAAAAGCCAACTTGAAAGAACTAAGACATTAAAATAATTTCCAGTTAATTTAATAGCTTCTGAAGTCGGTGCTAAGACATAGTTTATAGAAAAATGAAGCCTTTATAATTAACGGGACTCCGCACTTCAATATCTCATTTTAATTTAATGTGTAGGTGTATAGCAATCTCATTAATATCACAGTATAAAGAAATATTCTGTTTTCTAGTGTCCACGTGCATATCGTGCATGTGTCGGCCGCTGGCGTCGTCCCAATTCTTGAGAAAGCCAGATTGGGGCGTATTCACGCTGGTAATAAAGGCTGGCGCGGTGGAGTCACGGCTGAGACCTGCCACCACTACCTGACTCTCAGTTCAGAACAGATCCCTGCTGGACACACCGAATACAAATGCTCTCCACCTATTAGAAATAATACTAACAAGGTTAATAACCACTTACATGTTTTTAAAGTTTTAAGTGACAAAAGGAGTTAACAGTTCACCTTATGGTAAGCTATTGCTGCTATCCATGTACACCCTATCCATGTAGCCTACATCAAATACAGAAACCTACTCATACTGTTGGATATGTAGTACTATTATTCATTCTGTGCTGTTGGTTTAAGGATTAATATATAACGCACAGGCAGCCTTTTATCACTTTATAATTTAAAATTAAACATTTTGTAAAACCGACGTCAATAACTCAAAAACAATTAGTCAGACCATGATCAAATTTATATGAGACTACATGAGAAACACCAACTTTCAAATAAAAAAAGAATCATCGAAATTGGTTCACGTAGAAAAAAGTTAAGGGGTAACAAACATATTTATATTGGACTACATGTTATGGGGTAACAAACATAAAAAAGCAATAAAGTCGAATTGAGTACCTTCTCCTTTTTGAAGTCGGTAGAAAATGCGTATTCATAAATAAAGAACTCCTTATAAATTGAAATTAGAGTGTAACGTTTTAAGCTCTTTCTTAAAAAAAACAACCTTAAAATATTTTATTGTAGCTAGTAAGTCCGTTTCTTTAAATAAAATACCTATACATATTTTGTATCGTCGAGTCGATTTATTAAAAATATTACAAATTTTTGTTAATTTCTTTTGTTCAAGGTGTTCAATATATTAGTTAAGTGATAAATCAGCACATAAAATTGTAACCCCTGCCCTACAACAACTCTCAATAAATAAATCAATATTTAAATTTAGTATCACTTACACAAAAAAAATATCAAAAACCTAATTGCATACTTCGCTTAATAAATTACTCAAATGTATTTTGTTTTCATTATCAATCAAACAATAATTTAACCTGTCTTTTTTTATCAATAAACCAAAAGTATTTTAAGTTTTTAAGTCTTAAAATATATTTCAGGAAAAACTGTGGGAATACATCAAAGACCATAGATTAGATTTAATTGCATCGGACCATTCCCCATCAGTTGCGTCCTTAAAGTCATCCAACTTTATGGAGTCATGGGGTGGAGTATCTTCTGTTCAATTCGGTAAGCTTACTTTCATATACCGAGTGCAATCACATCGTTTGTAAGAACAAGCCTTATTAAAAATCTCGTGAAAAACAATAAACATAGGTAAACATTGGTGTAATGGTAATATTGGCTAGAGTAAAAACACCTACTATATTACATATTTCTTTAATAACCTCTCTGAATCCATTGCTATGTACAGGTTTTTTTTTGAAGAATTCATGACTAGACGACAGTGGTGTCGTAGATGACATTGAAGGCATTCCCAATACTCACTACGCTGTTAAAGATTGTCATATATCTGCCTGTATTTTCAGTAACCAAGTAGGCATTGTATAAACTCGGTATATTTCAAATTTCATTAAACTTGAACCAGTAGTTTAAGAATTATAACTAGTCAAAGTTTCTTAATTTTGTCACTCACTGACTGACCGATCATCAAACTCTAAGGCACTTTTAGCAGACATAAAAGCTTTTAATTTGGAATGCAATTATTGTTTAATATATAAATCAAAGAAAAATTTAAATATTTTATAATTTCGGTCCAGTTTTCGAGATACACCAACTGCATAAATAACTTTGTAATCCCATATAAATATATAGGATTACAAAGTTACATATGCAGTGCATGGATCAGTGTACCTATATATGTATAATATAATTGATTAATAAGTGTAGATAGGTACCTAGATATAACTATCTTCAAAAAGAAATGAGATGCCATCAAAAACATAACTTGTAAAAAAAGCCAAGTCTCGCAACTCAGTGCTTCTACCGTAAAAAGTTGTGAGATCCATGTAATACCAAGTCTGTTAATTTATTCAGTGCCTACTTAAGGGTCCTTTTGTCTTAAATTATTACGTAATTAGTTAACCTAACAAAATCTTATAGTGACCATATCAATATCAAAAATCTTTTAAGTTTTAAATAAATAAATTGACTTGTCAATCGCACTAAACAATCTAATTTAATATAATATGTATTACTTGACAGATACATTGTGTTTTCATGCGATGGCCAAGCATGGCAGCATCATCGTTGGAGCCACACGCAAGTGTGAGTAACGATCTAAGAGCGAGTCTTATCCGACATTATTCCGATGATATCCCGGACGTCAGTCTGAGCGAGATTAGAATGGCTCTCCAGCACCTTAAAAACGGCAAGGCCCCAGGCGAGGATGGAATTGAAGCGGAGCTTCTGAAAGCGGGTGGGAAACCGGTACTTGAAGTCCTTTAGAAGCTCTTTAATTCCGTCCTCCATGGTGGCATTACACCGGAGGCGTGAAGCAGAAGTGCGGTGGTCTTGTTCTTCAAGAAAGGTGACAACGCTCTCTTGAAGAATTAAAGACCGATTTCCCTTCTGAGCCGCGTCTACGTGCTGTTTTTGAGAGTCATTACTAATCGTCTCGCGCGCAGACTTTACGACTTCCAGCCTCCCGAACAAGCCAGTTTCCGAAAAGGCTTTAGCACCATAGACCACATACATACCCTTCGGCAAATTGTACAGAAGTCCGAGGAGTACAATTTGCCACTATGTCTCGCGTATGTGGACTATGAGAAAGCCTTTGATTCCGTCGAAATTTGGGCGGTGCTGCAGTCCCTTCAGCGGTGCCAAGTTGACTGTCGGTATATCGAAGTGTTGAAGTGCTTGTACAGTAAGGGCTACGATGCCTATCCGAGTACTAAATAGTACGAAACCTATCCAACTGCAGAGAGGTAAAGACAGAGTGACGTTATATCCCCGAAACTCTTCACCGCTGCATTGGAAGACGTTTTCAAGCTTCTGGACTGGAAAGGATACGGTATTAACATCAATGGCGAGTACATCACTCACCTTCGATTTGCCAACGATATAGGCCTTATGGCAGAATCGCTGGAGGACCTAAGCACTATGCTCAATGACCTCAAAAGTGTCTCCCAACGAATAGGTCTTAGGATGAACATGGACAAAACAAAGATCATGTTTAATGACCATGTCACACCTATGCCGGTAGTTGTTGGGAGCACTAAGCTCGAAGTTGTTGATGAGTATGTTTACCTGGGACGAATAGTCCGACTAGCTAAGTCCAACTTCGACCGAGAGGTCAATCGACGGATTCAACTCGGTTGGGCAGCGTTCGGGAAATTACGGCACATCTTCTCGTCAGGTATACCTCAAAACTTGAAAATGAGACTGTACAACCAGTGCGTGTTGCCAGTGATGACATATGGAACTGAGACGTGGTCCTTCACTGTTGGCCGGATGAGGAAGCTCAAGTTCGCTCAGCGAGCTATGGAGAGGGCTATGCTCGGAGTTTCTCTGCGTGATAAACTTAGAAATGAGGATATCCGCAGTAGAACCGGAGTGACCGACATAGCCCAACGGATTAGTAAGCTGAAGTGGCAATGGGCTGGCCATATAGCTCGAAGAACCGACAATCGATGGAGAAAAAAGTTTCTCGAGTGGCAGCCTCGTACCGAGAGGCGAAGTGTAGGGCGTCTCCCCACTAGACGGAGTGACGACATGGTAAGATATGCAGGAAGTCGATGTATGCAGGTGGCTCAGGACCGTGCTTTGTGACATTCCTTGGGGGAGGCCTATGCTCAGCAGTGGACTTGTGAAGGGCTGTAATGATGACTCTACCGTTCTTGTTCGGTCTTGTTGTTACATCCCCTTCACATCTCAGCATACAAAACATGAACCTAACATATTATGTATAATAAAAAAAGTAAAAATGTTTGCGATTTTCGTATTTGAACTTTAAATTAGGTATATTTACAATATAATTGGTAATAATGGCTAATATCGATTATATTATACACCTCAAATTTTTATACCCGCTACTAAGTTATGGGCTTATACAACAACGTTGACGTAACGGTTGATAAGTGTATTCGATTTTTCCGAATAATTCATAAGTAATGATGTCCACGGCTTCGGGGTGTTATTATTTAATAGAAGTAAAAGTATAATATGCGGTCCGTTAATCGTGTAGTGGCAGTGTTATACACTACCCCATACCATCCTGCGGGTGTCGTAAGAGGCGACAGAGGGAACCAGGAGACGGGCAGCAGTATCTTCCTAATAATTCCTAAATAAAAATAAAAATTGCGGTTGCGGGTGGTTCGTGACCAAGCGTGGCAACTATGGCAAATCCCCCCCCCCCCCCCCCCGCCCCCATGAACCAAACTATGGAGAAGGCCTATGTACAGCAGTGGAATTTTGATAGGCTATCACATCGTGAGTACAAAATAGTGAAACAAGAGTTATTTGTTAAAACAGTTTTATTTTGTTTTTAGGTCTGTCCCTGTTTTGGACGCAGGCGAAAGCCCGTGGATTAAAATTGGGGGACGTGAGTCACTACTTATCAGCAGGTCCAGCTCACTTATGCGGCCTGCAAGAGAGAAAAGGTGCCATAAGGCCGGGCCTTGACGCTGACCTTATCTTCTTCGACCCTAACGCGTCGTTCGTTGTTACGCCTGATGTGATATTATACAAAAACAAGGTTATTTTTTTAATTATTTACGCATCATGAATATTTTTTAAAGGTTCTTTTAATTTTACTAGGTGGCCTACTTACCATTTTCTTACCTATTCCTGCTGTTAAGCAGCACAGCGTTTGCACTGTAGTGCTCTCACCTAAAGGATACAGAGAGCCAGTATAATTAGAGGCATCCCATCTTAGTTAAGTTAGTTAGTTTATTGATGGAGTGTGTCCGCAATGCTGGCTTTCGAATAGTTAAGTGTAAAAATATTTTAAAGGAATTTGCTGATTGTAACATTATTTAATCCAATCCTCATTCCGATGAAACAAAATTATTGGCTAAATTATATAACATAATATTTTCCTCAGATCAGTCAATTAGATAGTACTTTTTTCATTTTTATTTGTTTGTTAAACTGAATGTTATTTAGTTCTAAATGATGTCAAAATAAAGATTTAAAAGAAATCTTAGTTCTCAGGGGTTACAACACATCTGTAGTTCTTTGTTTGAAGTTGGTTGCTTGTATTCATGGAGTGCATGCAGTGTAGTATAGTTGTAGCACGAATGGGTCGGCTCGACCGGGAAAGGACCACGCTCTCACAGAATACCAGCGTAAAATAGCAGCTTAACACTGCTGTGTTTCGTATGGTGAGTGTAGATAACCGGAGACCCTTTTTACTGGAAAAGAGGCATTCGATCTTAGTCATCACGGGTGACAACGCATCTGCAGTTTGATACGCAAACGAGGGTAGATGTAGATGTCTATGGGCCACAGCAACCACTTACCATCAGGTGGACTGTGTGCTCGTTTGTCATCCTATTCTTTAAAAAAAACCACCTACCGGTGAAATGTAAGTTCATTGTCACTTCAGCTTTATAAAAATAAAATGAGAACTCAGGTTTACCTATATTTAATAATATACTAACATGTTTTAATTTTTTTTTCAGATAAGCCCGTATATGAATACAGTATTAAATGGAAAAGTTATCCAAACATATATTAGAGGTCAACTCGTTTACTCAGAAGGACAAATAATAGGCGGACCAAAAGGAATTTTATTACTCAAAGATGGTTATTAGTTACTAAATAAAAGAATTGTATGTAATGTGCGAATGTTATCTATTTGTTGTTTTTGTCTTTCTTTGTCGTATGAATTACATTTGTGCGGATCCGTTTTATAATAATCATATATTGAGTGCATGTGAACTCAATAAAACTTTTTATTATAACGTTCATTATCCTTATCACAGCCCAATTCCCATAGTTCACGGCTGAACTTGATCTCTCCTAAATATCGCCAATTTGCCGCTTTTATAGTAGGCAGATTAGTGATCGCAGTGAGTGCAGCAGATTTTTTGCACCTTCATCAATATTAACCGACGACAATCAGGGTACAATAGAGTCTAAAGATTTGATAAATAGTGCATTTAACGGTAAGTCCATATACTTTCTGAATAGTGCCTCTGACTTGACTGACTCACGGAAGGAAATGCAATGACAGCTTCTCTTACTCTGCGATTACTCGGCGTTAATGTTAATTTTTCTACCGGCTTCAAAAATGAGGAGGTATTGAATTCGACTGTAAGTTTTTTTTCATAACTTTTTATTACGTGAACCGATTTCGATGATGCTTTTTTTAATTGAAAGCTAGTGCTTCTCATGTGGTTCCAAATAAATTTGATCTAGGTCTGACTAATAGTTTTTGAGTTATTCTCAATCATTTATATTGAAGTATAGTTGAAGTTAAATTATTATATTTTGTGTTAACGTCATATTTTATTGACTTTATATTTGGGAAAACCGCTTAGTACAGCGGTAACCCAAGCAGCATAAGCATACCAAGGAAACTTACAATACAGATATTGTCTCATAAGTAACTTATAAAGACAAACGTTTAAAATTGGTTTTTGAACGGTATTACAAATGAATATAAAACAAAGAAAAGTTTATTGAATGATGGCAACATTTAAAGTCTTAACATAATATTTATCATATTAATATTTATATTCGGATTGGAGTTTAGTTTTGACGGTGATAATTGGTGAATCGAAAGTTAGATTTACGGTAAACTTGTATATGCTTTTCTATTAAAAAATCGTCGCGCCAGCAAAATAACAAAATAATATAAGCAGGCGTGTCACTTTGTAAAAATCTGAGGTATGGAAAATGGTGGCGCGATTTTCAAATTTGTTCGCATTACTCGTGGGGTATTAAGGTTTAAGAGTTTGCAGTGTGTATACTCAACTTATTTATTGAACTATAAGATGTGGGGTATTGAGGTTTAAGGGCTTGCGATTTATTTATATGGGGTTTGTAGTAATATGCGATTTATTTCCTAATTTCAGCTATGGAATTCCATACCTTGAAAAACTTGAGGTATGGAGTGCTCCATACCTTCCATAGTGGAAGTGACACCCCTGAATATAAGGACAAAATATTAAATACGGTAACTAAATATCGGTTGTATAGGTTAGAATTTTAAAAAAATTTATGGATATGAAGACACATTGGGGCAGAGTTATCATTAGTTAAACTGAAAGTAATAGTATAGGCTTAGACTAGTGTCTAATATTCCCAAAATTATATTTTAAGTTTTGTTTTTATGGGACTTAAAATGGCGACAATTTTTTGTTTGTTAAACAGCCTAAAAAGTATTTCGAGGGTCTTATAATCTTAGTAGCTGTACTATGTATGTTATGGATTATATCATGCATGTTTTTAATCAGTTCTATAATAAGTTATTTTATTACTCACGCTGTATAGCAGTTTTTTCAACACGACATATAATTCTCTTTAGAGATACGTATAAAAGATGAAAATAATGATGTTTTTACTGCACCAAAGCTTTTTCTTTTTTCCACATATTAATAAATAAAATATTTGGTACGACTTTCCATTGACGTCAGTGGAGTTTGGTGTTGATACGTATTTTTACAGAAAGATTACACTATTATAAGCACACACACAAAGTCTCAATATACGGAAAAGCGTAATTTTTGAGAAAAGAATAATTGAAAATCAATTATTCTTGCAATGTTTATGTCTAATCTGCTAATAAACTGTCGCCATTTTGTAATGTTATTGTCGACGTCAATAGGGATATCGATTCTTTCCGAAAAAGGTCGATTTTTAAATCGATTCAAATCGTAAGCTGATGTATCGATTCCCAAAAAATCGATTTCTAAAATATCGATATTTTTTTCATGTTTGCATTTATAATGTAAATATAAATCCATTTTATGAGAAAAAAATCCCCTTCATCACAAAAAAATAAGGGGACTGATTCATAAGGATTTCTGTATCTATTTTGAGACTGCTACGTCTCCGGCTCTATAAAACCATTCTAGAGGTAGGACAGACTCGTACCAGGTGGAGTCGGGGTCAATCAATTCGGTTCTTTGACATAAGTTGAACCTAACCTATTTTATTTGTTATCTGCCCTAATAGGTACTGTTAAATAAAACAAATTTCAATAAGAGATCATTTATCATGGTATGTTTCTTGTTTTTCATAAAATGGGTTTATATTTACATTATAAATAGAAACATTAAAAAAATATAGATATTTTAGAAATCGATTTTTTGTGAACCGATACATCAGCTTACGATTTGAATCGATTTAAAAATCGACCTTTTTCGTAAAGAATCGACATCCCTATTGACGTCGACAATGACATTACAAAATGGCGCCAGTTTATTAGCAGATTAGACATAAACATTGCAAGAATAATTGATTTTCAATTATTCTTTTCTCAAAAATTACGCGTTTCCGTATATTGAGACTTTGTGTGTGTGCTTATAATAGTGTAATCTTTCTATAAAAATACGTATCAACACCAAACTCCACTGACGTCAATGGAAAGCTAAGCCAAATATTTTGTTCACTAGTACAATATAAACACGCAACGCATGCAAAATCATTGAAGTAATATGTACGTACGTACTAGAACAGCTATTTCAAACAAAAAAATGTGCGCTACTGAGATCTTCGCGCATGCGCAGGGAAGAGTAGTGTGGCGCATGCTCGGTTGATTTTTATCATAGATTATACGTAGGTTTAGTTTTATATCACTCTCGTAGACAGAAGTCATAAAATACTGTATTTACAAAAGTATACAATGATACCATAAGAATAAGTTTTAGAAGAGAGTTTGAGTACACCATTGTTCAGAAATAAGATGTTAGTGATACTATAATAACACATAGAGCTGTATAAGCAAGGGACAGCATGCAAAAAAACAGCTTCTATACAACTTTAATGATAAAATCCGATTGATGTGTTACAAAATACTTAAAGTTGTATACTAGAATTTTCATATTCACACACACAGACTTTAAACAGCTTGAGCTGTATAGTAACCCATAAACCACTCTTATAAGGATATAACCTCTTTTCAACACTCTTATACGCTTTTGAAAGAACTCTAAGTTCTATGTGGGCTGGTATATTGATGTTCATAACGCTTGAGCGTGCTGCTTGGGAAGTACCTATCTATATTGAGAAGCAGGTCTGTTGTCGTTTGTCGTCGTTTTACACAACTGTTTCAATTACTCTATTTTTTGTGGGTGTCTAAAACAATATCCTACTACTTTTACCCGACTGCCCCAGAAGGAGGGTAACGTTTTTCGAGTGGTTGTATGTATGTATGTATGTCCGTTTTTGGCACGCTCTATAACCTAAACAGCTTGATGTATATTAACATATAATGGGGTGTCGCTAGATTTCTCTTCATTGTGAAAGTGTAAGTGTATATAAAAATAAATAAAATTGAACTGTCTGTTTGTAATGTTAAAATAACAGCTTTTAACTAAATGCATATGGTAAAGTATATATACTAATAACAAAGATCAATTTTTAAAATTTTTGTCTGTCTGTCTGTTTGTTCCGGCTAATCTCCGAAACGGCTAGACCGATTTTGACGGGACTTTCACTGGCAGATAGCCAATGTTATAAGGAGTAACTTAGGATACATTTATTTTAGAAAAAAAAATTAAGGTTCCGCGAAAAAAAAAACTTAAAACCCATGAAATCTTAATAAATTCCACGCGGGCGAGGGACAGCTAGTATGGTGTAAAAATGTTCTTTATTCAGTAAATTTTTTACACAGTAAGGTTTTAAGTAAAAACTTTAAATGTTAATAGTAATGTGAAAAATAAGCACACAGTCCACCCGATAGTAAGTGGTTGCAGTGACCCATAGACATCTACATCTATCCTCAATAAAGAATTAGTTCTTTTCTTAGTTCTTTTTTTTTAAATGTTACCCCACACTAGGATTTTCTCCTGTATCGTGGAGGCAATTTACAAACAAATTGCACAAGGACAAAAATCCAGACCCTGAACAATTATTTGCAGGCCATACAAATACATGTTCCGTGCGGGATTCGAACCCGCGGCCCCCAGAGCAGCAACTAATTGCTAAGCCTCTGTCCTACAATAAACAATCAAAATGCAGATCCCTTGTTACCCGTGAGAACAAAGATGGAATGCCTCTTTTCCAGTAAGAAGGGTCTCCGGTTCTCTACACTCACCATACGAATCACAGCAGTGTTAAGCAGCTATTTTACGCTGCGCTGGTATTCTGTGAAAGCTTGGTCCTTCCCCGGTTGAGTTGACCCATTCGTGCTACAACTATACGACTAATATAGCTGCAGCATGGCTCTACCACGTATGATTGCTGAACATAGGCCTTCTCCATGGATCGCCCCAGCGGGGCGGGTATTGCAGTTCCGCATTTTTTGTTCAGCTCCTATCAAAAAGGTGCTGATACCCACCTCCTGTTTCAGTTTACCTCTGTCGCCCCTTACGACACCACGGGAGAATTTAAAGTTTTTTTTTGCAAGGTAGGTAGAGGATTCTGTAAGGCAGCGATGACAAAAATATATGTGAGCAGGCCGACTATAAAAATTATTCTTTTCTGAAAGCTATATTAATATCCCGTTGACCACAAAGGCAACCGATGGCTATGTTTCATTCACAAAAATATTTTGCAAAATTATAAAAAATTGTCGTCAAAAAACTAACTGCCTTGCTCGCTATTTATTTACCATGTACTGAAAAAGCTTCTTAGATTAAGCTGATAAGATTTAAGCACTAAGCTACATAACTTCTACCTAAATAC